CAGGTACCACTGACAAACAGTGAAGGAAAACATCGTGAGGAAACCTGGGATTATAATTTCTAATTATAAGTTTGAAATCACCAACCCGCATTGAGCAAGCGTGATGATTAATGCTCAAACCTTCTCGGTGTGAGAAGAGGCTTTGCTCAGCAGTAGGCATTTATAGGCTGTTGATGATGATGATGATGAATGCCGATTCTTTTATCTCTTCGAGGCTCCATTGTCATCATTAGCAAAATATTGTTTAATATTTCTGGTAAACATCAGTCTTCATAACAAAAATCAAGTTTAAAGATTCTCCTTTGATACTAAAGGAGATTTTTCTTATTACTACGAAACCTTTTAATATCAGTCTCTCACTCTCTATCCTTTTGGTTCTGCATTGTGAACCACTTCTATAAAAAAGTGTGTTATTAATATGTTACTATTTCTACATTACACACGCATAGAAAAAAATCGTCACAATTTTCTACCAGCTTACACATGCTCACATAAATTAGGCTTTTTGCTACAATAACCTTGTTTTACGACGTTTATTTAGGCGTACTAAACAATAAAAGTATCACGCGATCTCTGTACACGACAAAAACATACCAACTTGTATGAAACTATGAATCATTTTGGCATTTACAATATTATTAATACTTACCGTACTGCATACCTGGAGTCCCTAGAGTCGTATGCCGTACAGTACGTATCAGATGCCAAGATTTTCTGAAATTAGATTTAGTCGTTTCTGAGATTCAAACAAATAAACTATTTTTACTATAGTATATTATTAGGTACCTATGTAAAGGTTTCTTTAAGGCTGAGTAGGTACCGGTGTTAAAAACTTGTTATACTAACACGTGTTAAAAACTTGTGACAATCAAGTTCCAAACAGGTTATTTCGATATATCCAAAACTGTTTTTAAATTATTATTTTTATTCGCGGCTACATGGATTGGATTCATTGCAATTATGTAAATGAGAATTTACAGATCCTGTTAGGAACTAATGAAGAGAACAGTGCAAGCTGGAAGCTCAATTTATTGAACGTTTTACAGTAGTATTTGAAACTAATAGGTACATATGTACATACAGGTATTAAGAATAATGTTTTTAAATGAGCTTCCGACATCGGCACTTCAAACAAGTAAATTTTATCTAGATTTTATTTAAAACTTTTCTTTGTTAGGATATATCAGAAAAGCTACAGGTTAATACATAAATTCGTGTATCACCACTATATGGGCATTTAATGTCACTATTCAATCTATTAGTCTTAATAGATAGACTTTCGATGCGTATTATTACCTCCGCTCAAGTTATTTAATTGATGACATCAATGAACATCTATGGACCTGTAGGTACATTAATATAATCTATGCAATTATACAGTGCATACACCTCTAGACCTACATTAGAAGACTAGTCCTGTGCGACTAGTGACTATTCAATCACTAACAAGTCTAAACTCTCGCATACGCCTGACCAACGGCGCTTAGCTACAAACGTAACCACCGAAACTCAGTGTTGAGTGTTGCCACCCACAAGTGCGCATACACCGCACACGCAACATGATTAATATGTGCCCAGTGCACCGAGTTTATAAATAATACAGTTTAAAAACAATGAACGGTACGTTGATCGTAGCGTGGAGAAATCTAAACATCACAACCCTAAATAAATTGCTATTAGTATGCATACCGGAGCAACAAACGCAGCCAAAATCGTACAGTCTGTGATGGTGTAACCGCGTGAGTGAGGTAGTAATGGACCGGGCACGGGGTTCGTTCGCCGATAAAAGCGAAAGTGCTGCGTTCAGTGGGACAACGACCGGCTCCTGCGGATAGCCCTGTCGGTTTCCTGCATCCAGGTCATCATCATCAAACATTGGCGACTGCGTCACCGACCTCTTGTTAGTCAACGCGCCCACGCGCTCAGAAACAATATACCACAATGTTTGCTTATGTTACCTTAGCACCTGGGTACTTGTAAGTTTTATAAATGCGCTCTCTTTAGTCACAAATACTTTTATGCTTAAAAATATCCATGAAAATATTATATCACTTCATGTATGTAACAGACACTTATATTGGTCAAAGAGCAATTTCAAGTCCGAATCGGTCGTTAAAATTATGTCTCCCTTGTGACTACAAAATCCACATAGCAATATCGAGATATCGTAATGTTTGCTATGTATAATTCATAATATAATATTTTGTGCGCAGTATAAGAAACTGTGCTGTTGCTGTTACTAATTAATTTTCTCATGGAATTTGAAACTTGCTTCTGAGTTCAACGAACTATGCAAGTAGGTACAGTTGCGTGCAATAATTGGTGATTTGTCACTTTTAACGATTTCTTTAATATAAAATATTGGTTTGTAAGATAAATTCAAATTAATTTTCGTAACGCAACGTAACTTTATTTAATTTATGCCCATTGCACATACTTACATTGTAAATAAATACAATATTTCATGTGTTGTAAATACCTGCTTGTACTGCGGTAAACCCAACAGGATAAACTTATACTTAGGTAACTTTGCGTAAGTATACATTTATTGTATGTAAGTTAAGATAATAACGAAGGTATTTGACCTGTCATTTAGAAATACTTAGTTTGGAAAAGTCTTAAATAATCTTAGTTAAACTTAGTATAATAACGCATATTAGTTACACAAAGGGTAGGCAGAACTGTAGCTACGTACTTAGTCACAGAGCACAACACAATCCCTTATTCAATTCATTTCAATTCATTCAATTCAATTGGGTTTTTATTGTTTTTGACAATGGTAGATGCATATATGGCGTACCTACAATATTGTTAGCACAGATTATGAAATTACTTAAAGCTTTAGGTTTAAGGGTCGAACTATCACTTAAAATGGCTTACTTAGCGATACATATCTACGGGTACCTAAGTACTTAGAGTTTAAACTGGTCTGTGTTCTCTAGTGATTGATTACGAAAATACAAACAAAAATGGGCATAATACAAAATAATAACTTGGTTCAAAATTAGTTAGCAGTTTACTACGTACAAAACGTACATCCTGCCGGACCCAGTGCGTTGGTCGTATTCTACAAACCCTCTGAATATTACATTCCTCATCATCTCATAACACGATCCTTCATCCCATAAAATTAAATATTCAAGCCGCGAGACGTCCATTAGCCTCTGGAAAATTAAAATGGCCTACGAGTTGTGAATTTTGCAAAAATTTTAGCGATAACTTTGGAAGCCAACAATAACTCATTTATATGCAAGTTCATTACAAATTGCTTGAATATACATGTGTTTTTGAATATGTAAATGAAACTGTATTTGCTCTACTTCACCAACTGAAAAATCAACGAAGAATTAAAATTGTAATATCGCTCGCGCTTGAAGTGCCACCACACGGCCGAGAGTGGAACTAAACAAGAAGCAAGCTTCGGGTAATATCGTTAGCGGGCGCTCAACGATGGAAATGTTTTTCAACATTCATGTTTTTTCCACTCTTCTGAGCTAGTTAATTCTTACGACTAGCAATATCTGTTGTTCTGTGTTGCTTTGTTTTTGTTATGTATTGATTATTTTATTTTTTATTGTAGCTATTGGCTCGCCAAGAGTTATAAATTACTTACGTAGGTACCTACCTATCTATATACGTAGTAACTGTTGAAAAAGAGGTTACATATTCCCAGGTAATGGTATAGGCAAATTACTTTAAACACTTGAAAAGTATAATATCCTCCTATTTTGAACTCGGTTAAAAATGCTTTAAACTTTCCTTTAAATTTGTGCTTTAAATAAACTCAGATAAGGCGTAGGTACTATAGCATACTATTATAATTCAATGTACATTTGCAAAACAAACATCACATTTCGAAATTCGCTGTGGGTGTCGGCAACACTATTAATTCAGTACGTGAAGCGCCTGCAGAAATACGAAAGTGTAGACAACGAGACATATAGCTATTTAACTTTGCCAGGCGCTTTGTTGTCTGGCAAACCCCCACAGATTGCATCGATCCAATCGCATTTAATGTTTTAAATTATAGCCAGTTATCGTGTACGATTCCAAGTTTCTCTTGCCGGTATAAAACAGTAGTAAAATAGAAACATCAATTCATGCTACCACACGATCCGAAATGTTAGGCGAACCTGCTTTTAAAACGAGCAGATACTTAAAATTTTTGCTCTATAAAAATAAATTGTGTTCTTGTTATTTATCATTTCAATCCGCTATTTATCTTTTCATTGTGATAAATTCACATTACCTAACATTTAAACCAATCTTCAGATCAGCAAAGATAAAGCAGTAAATAGAAATCCTGCTAATTAATCTAAATAATACATAACACAAAGAGCCGAATATGTATTAAGGCCATACAACACAGGCAATCAAGCCTCTAGACGTCATAATTAACTTGGATTATGAACTAATGCTGAATAGCGACCTTGCTAGATCATTGTTGAAAATTACGATAGAGGGGGTGAGCGTCGAGCGCCTAAACATTTTTATTCAAGTTCCTCTTTATTATTTTTCATATTATATTATTATTGTTAGGTACTGTACCTTTTCTTACATTACGGAAAAGTCTTGTATGTACTGGGTAGATCCCGCAAAGCCTTATCAAAGAAATATTTTAAGACCGAAGTGTTTTTATTTGTTAGGTACCTAACTATCTAAACTTGTAACTAATTCCGTCTTATTAACTTTAAAAATATGTTAACCATTATTTACGCCAACAGAATGTAAGGATTCTATGAAATAATGAAACCTTAAAAAGTTATAGCAGGGCCGGAAACTTGCCGTCTATGGCATCTATTGAGTGGTCTCTACTGTCTCTAGTATTGTTACAGACAAGTACCTATTATCAATAGCCTCTACATAGCTATTAGTCTATCGTCATCACGTTCGCTGTGATAAAAATAAACATTTGCTAAACAAACAACAAAGATTTGATGGATGATAGTGGCGCATTCTCATCTATGTTTACTGCATTGTTCAAATTTCCCTCTTGCCAGTGGAGACAGCTAGTCGCGTACCTGTCTGAGCAGCGCAATCGTTACCGAGGCGCGTCGGTCTGCATCGGCGGGCATGCGCACACCAACGACACGAGCGTTCGACCAAGTTTAGTGAGAAGCGAGGAGGAACGGCACTGCACGCTGGCTGCGAATGGTCGAGTAGAGCCGCCGCGCCGCGCCGCCCGCTCCCGCAGTCCGCCTGCCGCGCCGGTTCTGCGCGCTCCACGCTAACCGCATCATGGTGAGTCATTGCTACAGTGCGAATCTATTCATTTACGACGACCTTTAAAGTTTAGACAAAATATAAATAAAGCGATACGCTCCATTTAATACAGCAAATGCCAGGCCGTATAACCGCTCCAAATAACTGCTTCGAGTAATCCCCGTCACAAAATGGCATTAACCTAATTATGTGGTGTTTGATCACACTTAAAGAAATCGAGGAAACTGCGTACCGATCCCAATGAAGGTCAACCACTAAAGGCACTCGTACTTGAGATCTAACGTGATGTAAACATAATTTCAGGTAATGGACAACCGTGCGAATGAAGATAACGAGACGGAACACAACTCTTCAATTTTTATAACCAATTTTCAAAATGGAGACGTCGTGAACTATTCCTTAGTTTTGATTAAGGGAATCATAACAAGAGGCAATTCTAACAATCATGAAAAACTCACGTGCACATTAAAAAGTGAAAACTTTCAAAACAAAACTCAATGGGACGTTTACAATGGAGAATTTAAAGTGATCATAGAACTTTTAAGAGGTGAAAATGTTATTGAACTCGAATACGCTGAACAGCAACGAAAAACGTTACTCTTGGATTATACCCCACGAAAAACAAATCTGCGGGTAACTCCAGTCTACATCATATGTCAAGGTCACGACGGATGTTTTCAAAGTCCACCAGATGTTGACAACTCGATAGAAAGTGCCTGTTCTCGAATTGCGATTGGTTCAAAATTGATCCAATGCTTAACAGCAGAAAAACTTTTTGAGAGTGGCATAGGAAGAAAAACATTCCAACTCGAACATGAAGTCAATCCCAAGAAACCAGAATGCATTGTGTTCAAAAGCAGCCTTAACGTTAACAAGGCCAGAAAAATGAAACAAACCGAGTTATGGTCACATTTTGGAAGAGAACTGATGCTTTCTGATTTAGGAAGTAATGAAAGAAAATTCTTGGGCTTTATATCCTGCACTCGATTTAAAGGTACTGATATTGATAAGCCCATGACACACGAAGAGATTGTATCTCTTACTGAAGCATACGCTGCATTAGGAGGAGGAGGCTTGGCTCTTTTTGGGACAGCTTGTCTGTATACCTGGCCCACGACTGTGGAAGAAATAATTCCAAAATTCTTAGATGCGACTCCAGTAAACGTAAGGCGATTCATGGACGACAGTGGATATCGAGGAACTTTAGGAGGATGTTTCGCAACTACCCTGGGTTCAGTATTCCATGAACTCGGTCACACATTTGATCTCGGGCATACCAAAGATGGTATTATGGGAAGAGGCTTCGACAATATAGACAGAGTATTTGTAACCGGGGAAAAACGCTCAGCTCTAGTGAAAGATAACATGAATAACTTCAATGGAAAACCAGTACAACATTCTACAGTTTCACTACAGCGTAATATAAGTGTAACTATGAACGTTGCGGAGCCTTTGCGGGTTTTAGGACCAAGAAGCAAAACAACGTTAGGTAACTTTGCTGCAATGTCCAAATCTGATATTATAAGAAGAAGCCCAAATGTGACTCCTATAACTAGACCATCTAGTGTCTATTCAAATATTACAAATAGGCTTACGGATTCAAAGAAAAACGTTAATCGGACCAACGGGAATGATTCTATTTATTGGACAAGAAATTGTGCTGTATTACTATCCTACCATCGGTGGTTCAATAATGAGTATGGAAGAGAAAGACAAGCAATAACAAGATATTTAAAATTTGATAAAAACAAAATGATGATCATTTCTACAGCCGGCATTAGAATAGTAGAAGTACGAGACGAATCAAATGGGATGGTTTTAGATTCATATGAATTTACTAATCTTGTACCAGAAAAGAGATTCTTGGTTCCATTTACTTTTTCTCCTAAAACCAAAGTGTTGACAATAGTAGTGGAGGATGATTTGGGAAACGTGCTAAAACAGACATTCTCATACTAAATAGTTGGCGTAACAGTATTAGGAAAGTTGACAATAAAATTGAAGAAAGGTAAAGTTGGAAGCAAGAAGAATTAAGTATTACACATTATAGAAACGTAAAAATAGTGTTTCCTCATCTAGAAATATTTGTAGGGGAATAAGAACTGTACATAAGTGAAAAGTGAAGAAACAGTGGTTTATTCCTGTGCGTGCATAATTTATTTGAATGGTAACCCTAAATGATAGTGGGCAACTGGAAAATATGACATTTGTGTGCTTCTGAAAATAGCATTATTTTGTTTCATAATTTTGATATTGATAAACACTGAAGGAATGAGTCATGAAATGAGTGAGATATACATATATATATATTGGGCACATAACTTTTTTATCAGTACTTTATCAATGCTAGTTGTATCTCTGTACTGAAAATGGCTAGTACCTCTACAAACGAGCTCTGTTTTTTCCTCCGTATAAAACATTTTCCACCGGTTATAGATGGAAGAATTAATATACAAGAATTTATAGAAGCATCTACGGATTTAGTTGCAGTAGTAGGTACGTCTGCGTGCATTTAATAATTACCTTCAAGAGCCGAACTCTTTGTTTTATCGCTCTTTTAATTTTTAATATTTATTTTTTCCAGAACGGCTTGGCTCAGTATTCGCTCCTGTAAAGTTTGATATGCAAGGAAATATCGACGTAAGTATAAAAAATGAGCGATGTTTAATTCATCCTTAAGTATTTAAAATTGCTAGGGAATTTAAAATATCAATCTTGTTTCAGAAATTAAAAAATCTTTACAAATATGACGACAATTCTTGCTTACTGGAGTTAATGCTTGCTGAAAATGCTAATGGTTCGCCTGTTGCAGCTGAAGGTGTACTGTGGCTAAACAGGTGTGTAATATTTTATTCATAAAAATATATGTACTTGTATCCTGATTAATTAGTAATTATCACAGAGATAATACAATAATGATGCATAAGTACATCTACATAAGTACATTTATTGCTTAGCTGGCATTTTTCAATAACTACATAAGTCTTGTTGAAATTATTAATTTAGCCAGTGACTGATAACACCTACATAACAATTGACTGGGCTGTTTCAGAATTTATAAACAAGGAAAACTATATCCATAAAATGAACAATGTTTTTGAAAGATGCATGAATTTATTTCTCTTTTTCCATTTACAGGGCCTTGCTATTTTTTGAGATTTTGTTTTCACAAATCCTGTCCCACGTTCAAGCCAATGATATTGATATAAATATGAAAAAAATATTTACTGTGGCTTATGAGGGGTCTGTGAAAAGATATCACAACTGGGTCACCCAACAAATATTTTCTGTAAGTATTAATCTTTTTTTAATAATGGGTATTCATTATTGGTAATCTTGTTTAATCAGTACTTAAAATCATTTTATGTCCCTTACTCCAGTTCCAATCAGTTGCACACTGTAAAATTAAACAATTAAAATTCTACCACAATTTTTATTAGTTGAATTCAATATCAGATCTCAAATTCCTTTCTCTTATAATGCTAGAGTACAAATTCATCTCCCTACATGTTTAGTGTTTACAATCATTACATAGTAGTATAAATAGATAAATAAACAAAGATTTATTTTTATTTACAGTTTATATGTAAAATGTCCCCGACTCTTCCTCAAGTAATGAAATCTTTTGAAATGGACAATGACATAAAAGGATTTGAAACAAAAATTGAAAGCTTTCACAAAACTTTGCATTTAGTTAGACAGAAAATTGATGAGTTCTTTACAGAGAATAATCTATTCACTGAACAAATAAAGAAGTAATTATTTATTGAAAATATTGACAATTTATTATTATAAAATTTAAATGTACTATTTGACTTTGAAATATATATTTTTTTTATTTTAAGCATAATTTTATTTAGGTATAGTATGAGTGAATAAGAATGACAAGTATTTTGAATGCTAAATTGTACATAATATTAAATACCAAATATTATAATAATGCCTAAGAGTGTACCATAGTGCTGTGTTAGTAAGGTTAGAGTATGCGCCTGAGGCTGTTTTGTGGTTGAAGAAAAGAGAATAGATAATATAATTTATTTTATAATTCCATAAGATAAATAGCACTAATGAATTGTATTCTGATGTGTGGTAGTCCAGAGACATTTTGTTTATCTATAATTTATGATTAGAAGAAAGAAATAATGTCCAGTGCCTTGTGAAATATTTGAAGGCAAAGTAACAATTTTATAAGACTCCAAACATTTTACCAAGAGGTTATATTTGATACAATTAAGATGTAGATTATAGTTCGATGGTAGGTATGTCATAATACCTCAAGATAAAGGTATTAATAGGTTTACAAATAGTGTTTTGTGTGATTCATTATGAAGTAATGTTTATTTAAAGTTATTATGAGTGTACAATGTATTTAAACTTTGATAATTGCTGTTATTGTATCTTGATCTTAATTTAGATTGTATTATGTTACAATATGTGTATCAACTAATATTTAATTATTACGAATACCAAAGCTTTGCTTTCATACACTTTCACATTTATATTCAAGTCCTTAATTAATAAAGTGAGCATTTAATGTTGTGTAACAACATAATAAAGTCTTTTCATGTAATGTGTGACTTATTATTTACATCTCCTATTATAAAAAGTAGCTTTAACCCATGGCTATGCCTTTGCCAATTAGCATAGTATATCCTCCATATTCTCAACTATGTGTACAAAACTAACAAACATATTCTTCAATTTTAATAATAGTAGGAATGATCCATAATCCTAATGTTTAGTGGGTTCTCATTCATCTGTTGTTTGGTTGGGATAAGTAAATGCTTTTGGCAAAATTCGAGGCTTGTTTCAATGCCATAAAGCTGAACACTACTTCAGTGAGTGTGAGCAACCATAGCATGGTGTGCAGTGTGATCTCCATGGGGGTGCTCATCAAGTATGGGTTGAAGAGGAAGAAGCTGACTAGAGGCATTTGCATCAAAATTGTCAGCATCAGGAACCCAGCTAGTTCTGGTACCTGGAATTTTATATTTAGTTTATTTTAATAATTATTGGTGGTACCAACTGAATAAATTATGCTACATTTTTTTTTCTTTAAGTACTAACCCTCCTAGAAAGGTTGCCATAGTGACCTAAATATATTCTTGCTGACTCAATAACAATCAATAATGTGAATACCGTCAATGAAAGGTATTTCGTTAAATGCCCAAGGCTATTCAACTGAAAAGAAATCAGGACATTCTCATTAAATATTTTCACAAAGATTGTATTTTATTTAGGAAACAATATCATGGGTTTGTATTGTTTACCTTTGCATACAGAAAAAATCCTACTACTGTCACCCAAATTATGTACAAATATAAATTAAAATATAAACATTTTTGTAAATGGAGCATGGTTCTGTATTCCATGGTTGTGATATTTTACACTCGATTCAGGATTTCAAGAATTATACGTATCCAAAATATGTATCATGTTTTGCTACAGCTTAAAATTGCGCCTCAAATATGATTCATTTTCATAACATTGGTTCAGGAAAGTAATAATTTCAAATGGTGATAACAGGAACACCCAAAATATGTTTCGTAAGCAAGCACTGCCTGATAATCTAATCGCATGTTCCACTTAATATTTGTTCAACTAAATACGAAGAACACTAATCGAGCCCTATCTACCTTAGATAAATAGAATTTGTTATCAATATTTTATCAATTTGTAACTTGTGATCAAATGGTAACCAAAGAGACAACTTCAAACAACAAACGTTTTGACAACATCAACACAACAAATGAACTTGAAGTGAACGTCAGTGAGTTGTCAATGTCAATTTCTATTTACTGAAACCATAGAGTAGATCAATAACCGCAACATTTCGTTTTGTACCAGTAAGTATGCCGGGAGCGTAGATCTACGCGAGACAATGTGTTTTATATTGTGACTTACATAGCGATATATAAGAGGAGGAATATTATTATGGTTGTATGTCAAACTTTGAACGAACTTGATACTTTAAATACTTTAAAAATGTAACTAATATTTTAGTAATAATGATAAACAAATCATCATAAAGATTGTTTCTGTCTTAAACTTACTGTTTACTTTTCTCATTTACAGAAAAGTAATCTCACTATCTAAACATTCTAGACAAAAAGCCTGGTATGTATTTATCACTCACAGAACTATATGCAATAAAAAAAGTCTAATAGCTGTCATTTCTCCGTAAATCATAACCTCAATTTTCAGCACAACAACTTCCAATATAAAAGAAGAATTCTTATTTAATTACAGGAAAACTAGAATGTATGAAGCCTAATTAAATTCTAATATTGCAAAGAATCACATTATCATGTTAGCTCAGTCGTTGCGTGTCTCTCTTGGTAAGTACCTAATAATTATATTCTAATGATGGATAAACTTACGAAAAAGAAACTAAATAAATTATTATTCTGTTTCAACTTCTTTCAGGTCTCTTACGACCTGAGAGTTCGCAATTGGTGCTCGTCGCTGGCATTAAATACTTTCCACCACCGAAAAATTATGACCGTAAGTTACCAAATCTAATAAGATTTACTATTTTAATAGTAACTAAACTACTTTTACCAACGGAAAAGTAAATTATGTAATAGTAACAACACACTTTTGTAAATGTCTGTTGGTGGGTACCTATCATCAGGAGAAGAATTTTCTTAACAGATAGTAATACTTTTCAGACATTGAAATACCGGAGCGTCAAAGGCTTCGTATCTATGATAAGGTGCCAACATATCCCTCCAATTTGAAGCCGCCGAAGATGCAGAAGCGTCTTCGTTACATGCGTGGTCCAGAGACAGTACACACCAACCTACAGCTGCAGCAATATGGCGTTGTTGTAAGTAGATAATATTTTTAGTCAACTTTTACATGCAGGCTTACCTGTGTGAGTTTGTTAGTCTAGTCTTCATTCTTAATACTAATTATATGTACTTAACTAACGAATCTTCTTCAAGTCAGTGTGACTTGAAGATTTGTTAAGTAGATGTAACATAAAGAGGAAACAAACTTAGTTCCAATTTTAGCAATTTTATCAGAGGGAGCTAAATTATGGATAAGAAATTATACTGATAGAAATAATTGTATAATATACTAACAGCTCCTCATTCTTATCTTTCCAGGCGACTGGAGGTGGCAGAATGCGCTCTGAACATTTTGAAATGGCCCGTTTAGTTGTTGCGAGAAAGTTAGACCAGAAAAGAATGTTTGCTATATGGAGAGTAGACCCACCATGGCAGCCTGTCACCAAGAAGGGGCAGGGGCAACGTATGGGAGGTGGTAAAGGTGCCATTGATCATTATGTCACACCCATCAAAGCTGGCAGGATTATTCTTGAAGTTGGTGGCAAATGTGATTATGCTGAGGTAAACTTTCATTGCTTTTATTCGTTTTTTCACATTTGTAAATAAAAAGCCTCATCTGCTTCCAAGATCCCTCCTTCGACTTATCGATTGGATTTCATCCCTGAGCAAACAATATCATACAATATGAATGAGAATGTACTCCTTGGCTGAATTACGATTTTTAATATATGATTGTGTAGTGATCACAAACTACTTTAGTACTGGTTTTGTTTCGTTTCAATAAATCAATATCTTTTTTCTTTCAGGTGTACCCAATGCTGAAAATAGTTGCTGAACGACTACCGTTTAAAGCTGAACCAGTTTCTCTGGAGATCATGCAGAAGAAGGCAGAAAAAGAGAAATGGTTAGAAGAAAACAACCAGAACTATTACACAATGAAATATATTATTCAAAACAATATGGGAGGATGTCACAAGATGCTGTCGCCGTTTGACCATCGCTGGTACGGCAAATATTTGTAAATAATCTTATTATAAGTAGCTGTAATTAGTGAAAATATATGTTTATGTAAAAGTTTGTTTATTTTTTATTTACATCCTAAAGTTATTCGTTTGGACTTTTTATTTCTAGGAAATATTCGATTTTATTACTTTTTCGGAAATCTAAATACAAATATATGGCCGCCGGTATCAGGGTGCGAGAGGTATAATTTAATCTAGATTTCCAAGGTTAACAACTAGTTATTATCAGAGTTCGGTCCTGGAGCCGCTTCTGTAGAACATCGTGTATTACCGCTAGTGCAGGTACCTACTTCAGGTTGCTCTTCTCATGCCATTTCCGTCTTTTGTTATTTTTATTTTTCTACACCACGGCAAATAAAGCACACGGCCCACCTGATGGTAAGTGGTTACCGTAGCCTACGTACGCTTGCAAAACTTGGGGCATTACATGCGCCTGGGCAACCCTTGAAAAACCTATTTACTCCCTTCTTGAAGAACCCTATGTTGTAGCCTACTGGGAAAACCACGGCAGCCCGTTCATTCCACAATCAGAGGGTCTGTGAGTGGAAATTCCTCTGAAACCGAACTGTACGAGACCAATGTTTGATTTGGGTCCCAATGTGTGAACCTGAACTCCCTGTCGATGGAGAGCGGTGCGATGATAAAAAGTGGTCGTGGGCATCTTATCAAATAATTCCGCGGAACACAACCAGCATGTAAGCGGTAGAAAACGCACAAGGAGGCAATATCTCTCCTTAAACTTAAGTGCTCGATACCACTCGTAAGTATAGGATCGTCAACAAGACTTACAACTCTCCTTTGGACCACGGTGTCAAAAGGCTAGTCTAGTCCTAGTTGATTTGCTGGCGCTCCTGCTCAGAGATGAGACCAGTATCTCCATATGGTGGCGAACTTGCGATTTATATAAAAGCTGTCTTTACCCCGGCGTGAAGAACCGCTTCGCTCTGTTTAGCACACCGAGTATTTTGGATGCCAGCTTAGTCTTGTCTTCTAAGTGACTGTGGTGTCGACATAATTAGTGACCTTGACGTCACTAATTATGTCGACACCAAGGATACCTATTCTTATGGAGATGTTAAGGGTTGTGTCTTCGAATTGAGGGGCCACAACGAAGGGGGTTTTATAGTGATTAATGCACAAACTTGTGTATTGGAGGGGTTGGACCGGACAAGGTGATATTATGGTCTCGACCCCAATCGGCGACTCGGTATAAGGTACCTACTCTCGATTTGAGACACAAGTTTTACGCGGCTTTCTTCCACAACGGAACGAGGGATGTTTGCACGGCCCGTGTAAAACGCGTCCCTGGTGTTATCAACCGCATAGCAATGAATGCCTTCATTAGACAGCAAATCATGGATATGTAGAAGAAACAAGCGTCGTAGAAGGTACAGATCCTTGCGGGATACCAGCGTTTATGTCCATGTTTTCAGAGCAACTACTACGACGGCTCTTATGCATCGGCCGCACAAAAAACTAGCCCAATTCTTCGGGCAGTCCGTATTATGGCAACTTCGTCAGAAGACTCGGGTGCCAGATCTTATCAAACACTTTCGCTATATCTAGGCTAACTGCCAATGTCTCGCCTTGACTCTCAATGGCCAAGGCCCAACAGTGTGTGAGATACACTAGAAGATCACCAGTCGAGCGACTGTGGCGAAAACTGTATTGACTGTCGCTGAGCAGGTCATGCTCCTCTAGGTATCGAAGGAATTGATTACTCGCTCCATCACCTGTAATTCGTCTGTAAATCTGTATGTGATCTGTAAACCTGTAATTCCAAATAGGCCTGTAATTCGTCGGGTTTGTTTTATAGCCCCTTTTTGGGCACTGGATGCACGTAGGCGGTCTTCCACGAAAAATACGAATAATAGGGCACATTTCAAGAGCACACTGCTTGAAAACCACTGCCGGTATTCCGTCGGGCCGCTAACTCTCGCCAAACACCTCTTTATGAGATGCCGAACAGTGGCCGCAATGCGGGATGGTAGGTGGTATGGTGCTTTCGTCGACATTCAAAGTCGAGTTTGAGGCAAAAAGAGTACCTAACAGATCGGCTTTCTCTTTTGCACCGTGGGCCAGGTTGCTATCGGCATTTTGCAGTGGTGGTGAGGACGACTGACAGAAGTTACCTTCGGTAGCTTTGGCGAGTGACCAGAAGACACGAGTCCCTGAGCGACAGCCTGCTAGCTTCTCGCCAATTCTGCCGATGAAATTGAATTTTGCTTTAGGATCGAAAGCTTAGGATCGTGTTTTACAGGCGTTTACAGGCTTTAAACCACAATAGTTTCTTTGTCCCTGCAGCGACCAGCGCAGTGAGTTTGGAATAAAATATTCCATACCCGCCAGTATCGCCTCACAGACAGCAGCTGCGGAGGTGTCAGGATCCTCTGATGTGAAACAAATGTGTGCCTACATGGGTGTGATGCGTAATACTCCCGCAATCCATCTCAGTCTGCTGACCTATACTGCCACTTGCGTCGTAAGCTAGTTGGTCGAGGTAGATTCAGGTGTCCGCATGGTGCTAGAGTCCGGGTAGTAAACACAGTGGTCGGAAGATCCGAGCGGTGCATCTACTGATATGGGATATCCATCCGGACTTTCGGTCACCAAAAAGTTCAATATGGAACTTGTATGACCATACGAGTTCCATCAATGTCAGGAATTCTTGTTGGAGAATGTACCAGCTACGAGAAACCACAGGTCAGAGCGAATTCGCGAGCACACCTCCCCGCGTAGTCAGTGGACCGAGAATTAAGCCATTCGGTGTGATGGGTGTTAAAGTCTCCTAAAATCACTAACTGCGCAAACGAGTATTGCTCAATAACTGTATCAGTCGTCTATTCTAGGTGCTCAACAAGTCGCGTTGTTTCCCTGTCACCGCTATGAGTCCTATATAGGCACGCGTAAATACGGGTGTGACCATCGTAGTTCGTGGGCCCCCACATTATCGACAGATCCCTGTCTTCAAAATGGCTAAGACGCCAACAACAGACATCCCCCCGAACGTACAGACAAACACCGGCACGTCTCAGAAAAGTATGTTCAAATTTGTAGCCGGGATAATTCAGGTACGATATATCTGCAATAGTCCACTGGGATGGATAGGGATGCCGCTGTATGTAGTTTCTTTCTGGATTTTTCATATTTTTTTGTGGAGGAATTTGAATAGGTTTAAGGAAGATTAATTATTGTGGTGATAGCTTAGGAAACTTGCAATGCCGACCTGCCACAGACCAACACGGGTGCGGTTTATCGACGTAACGTACGAGAGGCCCCAGGCCTCCCCCCATTGCAATAGCGGGATCCACTCCAGTCTCCTCCGACACGGGCACTACAACAGAGATTTTTCACGGGTTGGCAGTTCGTCCCAGGGCAGAGACGTTATTTAGAAGATAATCTCAAACTGCAGGTTCACAAATTCGATAGTGTTTTGATTTCACCTTCTTGTTAAAAAATACTGTATTCTGAATAGACACAGAAGGTGGGTGAATAGCTTTTGGTATTTATTTATTTTTACATTAAATATTGGAATGTAGGTTTTGAGACATTTAAACTCATATTACTCTAATATTATACAGCTGAAGAGGAGTGTTTGTTTGAACATACTGATCTCTTTTTTTATGGAATAGGAGGCAAACTAGCAGACGGATCACTTGATGGTAAGCGATTAGCGCCGCCCATAGACACCCACAACACCATAGGAGCCACAGGTGCGTTGCCGGCCTTTTAAAAAGGAGTAGGTACCTACGTTCTTTTCTTAAAGGTGGAAGGTTGTATCGGTTCGGAAATACCGTCGACGACAGATCATTCCACAGTTTTGCTGTGCGAGGTAGAAAGCTTCGTGAGAAACGCATAGTTGTGGCCTGCCAACCATCTAATTATGATGGGGATGCATACGCGAACGCATCTTGAACTACTGGTTCGAATTTGAAAATTATTTTCGTGTCGGGTTGTCAATTTGTTGAGGCGACCTACCTGGCTGTACGCTATCAAACACCACGCTGCGATCAATAGGGACTGAGTAGCAGATAAATAAAACAATAAGCATAATTAATAATGGTTTATTAAATTTGACATTTTCATGAAAGGATTTTCGTGACAAGCCTCAGTTTGCATACATGTATTAAACCTTGTAGCAATATTTAATTTATAAACTCCTTTCTTATAATTATGGCAAAAACTCAACAAAAACAAATGTATTACAGTAACAAATACTACAGCGTAGAGTACTTTATCTTATGACTCGTCCCTAACCTAACGTCGAAAGCCAAACAACACGCTATTAGTATTTTAGAGAGTATCATGGTTCACGAATAAAGACAGTGTAAGCTGATACAATGTTCCATAGAACACACGGCTTCCTTCGTTACTGAAAGTAAATAGGAAAGTTCGTCCACTTCTCCTATTATTACATTTAGGGTCACATTTAATACACAATACAAGATAAAACATTTACTATTTAGTGTACAATTGTAACAGACAAACATCTCATGATATTGTGTGCAACTCTACTCTGTCCATATTTTAAGCAATTTCTACCACATATATTTTCTATTCTGCATTGTCATCTCCACCATAAGTACCTATAAATTATATAACGTCATAACAATATTTACAAAGCCTAACATACTAACTTACAAGTAAATGCAATTTACATCTTCAATAAATTAATAATGTGTTTACAATATCATACAAGCGTTACATTTATATATGATATGGCTTTTTATTTTATAAAATAGACTGCATATAAAATCAATCCCTAGCAGTCATTTTATCACAACTTTATCCATTTGTTATTAAAACTGACTTGTGTGGTGTTACTGCTATTTGTTAATTTCAATACCATATTAAATTAAACACAGTTGATTCTATATTAATTATTTATTTATAAATACCTAAATAAATTAATAAATCAGTGCTTTCTGACAAACGAAACTAATTTCCGTTTAAATTTAATTAGGCTGTCTCCACACATAGCAATAAATTAATAGAACAAGTTCACATCAAATATTTGATAAGGTTTTAGTTTAGCAGACAGGAAAGCCATTTCAGAGAGTGGAATAGTATTGAGCAAATAAATTAGCTCAGATTAATTATAAGAATAATATACTTTGACTAGTTCTGTATCTCTTATACTATACTTAAATACTATATTCCCTAGAAACTGGCGATTTGCAGTCTTAATCATAATAACTATTGTGTTTTGTTATCAAATACACGGTAGGCGGGAAATGAAAGTGATTCTGCTTCGAGAGATAATAAAATAAATGTATTTTTAGTTTTAACTTGCATACATTAGCTAAGCTCTAAGTTAAGACAAAAGTGAGGTAGCGTTTTTACCTTCTAGTGGAAAAATATATATACAGTACAGATCTAGAACGAATGCAACGTTTTCTTTTTGGTATGGGAATATTACATTAGCGATATATCCTAAGGTTCGCGAGTCTTAGGCAAGGATATACGGCGCTCAGTGTACAGCAATAAATTAGCCCGTTACCGTAAGGAGATAATATCAATATACAGACAAACCTTGCGTGAGTAATATTTATAATTTATTATATTCATTGACATATTATGAGTATTAACTACATGCACACAATTATCATAATTAGGTACTTTAAATATGTGCAGCTTTGTAGATGACTAGAGTAAATACGTTTAACGATAATAAATTATTATGTATAAAACAGTTACAATTTGTATAGTTTCGATTTCGATCACTGCAAGGATCCACTTTGAGACACATATTGTATGAGGGTAATACATTGACTGTCAACAACATTACTCGTAAGCTTCGCTCAGGTGCTCTAACAAGAATTTCAGTTGAGTTTTCATGAAATTATTTTTGTGAGCGATGGAGTCGCAGAGCATTTGTGTGGGTGCGACTGTGTTCCCGTTGCTTACGTTTTCGTAAATGTGCGCGTCTGGGCACGCGTTGTTGTTGTGCGAGTCAATGGTACTAGCCTCGAGCCCGGCCGCCCCGGACGTATCAGTGGGTGCATTGTATACGTCGATTGGCGGAGCTTTGATGATATGCTGATATTTAAACGTAGACAATATCTGCCGGATCTTTGCAATGATCTGCTCTACTCAGGCGTTTGATTCCTGCGAAAAATTTTAAAAATACATAAGTCAGAATTCTGCAGCAAAATCTATAGGGTAGAAGATTTTCTAGATAGAATCGTGAAGTTAGAGGCTACATTCTATGCTAGTGTAGGTAAGAATTAGCTGCTTTCTAGCATTCTACATTGATGACGAAACATTAATGGTCAAAGAGGTGAGAAGTGGAATGTTGTGTCTAGGCGATCACCCGAAATATCGAATTTGCTGCAGGTGTGGTATAATGAATAGTTACTTAAAATGAATCTTAACAGTATAACTATGTTATAATACTGCACGGCATTCGTATGTATACTCATATAAAATGTAAGTACTCATATAAAATATTATCCTAGATTTCATATTAAATGCATCAAAATTGAGGCTCTATCATTCATAAGAAGGTACACCGAACATCGAGACAATACATGACACACGCGGCGTGACGTGACGCGGACAGCGAGTCGATGCAAGCGACAGCAACACTACACTAGAAGCGGGGGACGTGTGGGCGATTATACCTTGAGGTTGTGGAAATAATGCATGATCTGATCGTAGTCCATGTGCAGGTCGTCCAGCCCCAGCGCGTCGCTGGTGACGTCACGCGGCGCGTCGAGCGCGTCCGGCGCGCGCGAGTACATCGGGTTGCCCACTATCGTGGCGCGCTTCACCTCCGGGGAACTGCTGCCTGCAGCAACGTACGACTTCTTTACTGACTACTCTCTCACGAGATTGACGTCGGCGAGCTACGAGTAGTAAACATACCTTTGTTCTTATTGGCGGCCTCCACGAAATCTCCTTTTGACTCTTTGGATCTGTTCTTGTGCCTCATTTGTACTTCGGGTAGGCCTGTAAGTATCGGTACATTAATATTGAGGTCCTAAATTAAAAATAAACTCGTTTAATAGTGGAGATAATTACCGATTCCAGAGTCGTGCATGTAGTCGGGGCTTTCGGGTTTGGCGAATGTTCGTCGGGAGTCGTCGGTTCCTCTGTTGAGGCCGACGATCTCTCGGTAGTCCTTGTTCTCCATCACTAGTGGAGCGTCGTTATCGAATTCAAATAGTCGTGCGCAGTCATCTTTGTCAGTCAGTTTTTCCACTGGGTTGTCTTCAAGGTCGTTTCTAAGGGGAGCCGGGTTCGAATCGCGTTTGTAGTCTTTCATGTCTCGGTTCAATAAATATGGGGCGTCCAGTTTGTTTAAATCAATAATTCTGGAATAGAAATGTGTTTTTCGTTAATTAGTAACATTATTATACTAATACTATAGGTAGAGTTAAACCAGAGGACATAATAGGATGATTTGGTAATGTTACCTGTCTGAGCGGCGGCCATTTTCTGGAGATCGTCGGGACTCGTAATCGCGGTCGTGTTTCTTTTGGTGATTTCGGGAGTGGTTTCGTCGCGTCGGTGGCATGACCGTTTCGGGCAAAATCTGAAATAGTATTAAGACACATTAGTGGAGGTACTGTACATTCAGAAATTATTATTTCTAGAGGATAGAGGTTCAATCATCCCCCCATCCCTTTTCCCAAATCCCTAATCTTCAAATCCCTGAAAGGGTGGCGACGCTCTTGTTAGCTAACTCCTCTGGTGTTGTGAGTAGGTATCGGCGGTCAGGTGATCCATTTGCTCGTCCTTACTTATTTTCGACAAAGAAAATACTAGTTTTGAAAGAATATTTGATCGTTCTTACTTTGTTGGGGTTCCGAGGTGGTACTGGGACATGCGGCTGTGGAGTGGAGGAGTTCCTGTGTGGCGGGACGGGGGGCCGGTAGTCGTCTGGGTTGTTGGCGTCCGGCCTGTGGACCAAATGGAGTAAATTATACCATAATTATTACAATAATGCACAGAGAAACTACTAAGCGCAAACACTAGGAGACTATAGACTTGACACCCAGGATAAGCTGAGGTGCACTTCGTAAGTTAATGATATCAACTGTATTTGGTCAATTACTTTATAGTTACCTTCCTCGTGATTGGGAATAACTTCATTCTTAAGTACCTAAAAATATTGAGTATCAGGTACTATGCCCAACCCAGGAATCAAACCTAGGTCTTCAAGCTCGAAGCAGATAGTAAGGTGTTGTGACAAAATGCGACAGATAGAGGTGCGTAATTCTTATTAATAGAATAAAAACAGATCAAAGAGGCATAGTGCAAAGTACAATTAATAAACAATTGAGCATAGACAATCACTTCAACAAGGACAAGACAAAGGCGAGCGTAATAAACTTGCAAAAATAACTTACTGCCAGTGTCCGTCGCCGGAGTGGTGGCGCGCGTGTCGCCCTGCCTTCTTACAGTACGTGGTGGAGTCAATGACCTTCTTGTCGTTCTGTGAGGGCAACTCAATCGAGTTAGGGTTGTCAAAACTCGTCACCATGACGTTCCCATTCTCTCGTATAGCGTCCTCCGGGTCCACATAATTATAGTTCAAAGGGTTGGCAGTGATCCTCATCTCAGTGTTGCCGTTGTCCGTCTGTTGCGCTGAATTCCTGTTCGCTGGGTGACGGTTCCCATTCCTCTCGATCGTAGCGCGTCCTGGAAAATTGAAAGCTTCAATTTTGATCCAATTATTGAATGTATTTAGGATTATGGGGTTTTGTAAGCGTAATGTAAAGTATTCAGATTTCGTTAAATGTGCATTATTAGAGTGCATTTAGAATCAAGTGTCATAAAGTTCACTTTGCCTTATGTAGATATGGACATCGATCGATTATACATAAGTATTTACATGTAATTAGATTGGCGATGTCTTAAGGGGATCCCTTATTATCGCACAATGTTTGTTGTCCTAATATACTTCGGCATAACGATTTTAGCACAATTTGTTTTTGCATAATAATACTTGGGCATATTTTTTGTATATTAGGTCTTAATTCTATATATAGGGAACCGTCTTAAATTGCAATACACTATTCATTCAATAAACGACTTACCCAACCACACCCAATCATGGGCATTAGTAGTAGATTCCCTAGAAGGTTTCTCCCTGGCCAGGCCGAGCGTGGTGCCAACTAGACCAGCGACTTGTAACCGTCCCCCTTCAGCGACCCCGGCCGGCACCCCTCGCGAGCCGCCGCCTACACGGTCTCCACCTGATGGCTTGACTCGCGTCGCGTATACTACGCATGATACCACGAACACCTGCGGAAAGAAATTGTGATTATACAGTATGTTGGTTCGTTACAGTGCGTAACTATTAAGGAATATATCATAGTTAGTACAGAGTAATTAACTTATTTAGATAAGTGCCTAGTCTAAAGGTATTGCCTTTATAAGTTTAAAAAATAAAATGAGGTTTTACTAACTCACCACTATCGCAAAACAGAAAGCACCGAGGACCACGTAAATTCCTGAAAATAAAAAAAAAATACTTTAGCTATCACATTATTCCTACTCCATTATAGTCTTTATATCTTTTAAAATAAATACTAACCAATAACGACAGAAGTCTGTGCAGTTTGGTGCTGAGAGTGTGGTGCGGGGTTGTTCCGATAGATGGAGTTGTATTGTTGCGCCTGCGCAATGGTTGGCTCGTGATTGCCTTCGTCTTTGAATGATGGGTAGCCTGAAATATCAAAAGTAGGACTTAAATCTTATAAAAATAAACAAAAAATAATGGACACTCACTAAATTCATTGAATAATTGTTTTTGTTGCATTCATTTTCATTTATTATCAAGATAAATTTTAATTTCAAAGAACCTGAGCTCTCATTGCCACTATTTAGTTGAAAATTACCTTTAAGAATATCTCCAAGTTCAGCCATGCCGCTCCTCATCCCACCCCTCGCCATGATGTCATCATTTTGTGGAGTATCAGGTCTTTGAGGAGCGTCTCCTCCACTGAAGTCTACGTCCACACTGGCTGCTGCCGTGGCGATGGCTCCAGGAATATTCTTGATGTTAGCTGGAGTCTTCGTATCGCCTTTGCCGGGAAGAGCCACACGGCGTAACGGTCCAGTTCGGCATTGTTCCGGAGTTAGTAGGGTGACACGGAGTAATTCACCGCTACCTGGAATTGAATTTGTACAAAAAATATAAAAGTAGGGTCCGAAAAAGAGGTCTATGATTTGGTATTTGCTGAAGCTTTTTTAACTATGTATTAACAAAATTTAGTGTTCATTTACTGCACTTTAGAGGGCAAAGTCCTAAATTAGAACTTAAGCGGATATGATTTAAAGATTGTTTGGTTTATTGACTCCTTGCACAGAGCACAATTGCACTGATTACCTACACCAATAAGTACTTTCAGTACAAAACTACACAGGTCCTTAGTCTATGGAATGTAATAATTAAGCAAACCATTGGTAAACATACCTTCTCCAACCGCGATAACACGTGGATGTCTGGAAGCGTACATGGGCGCGAATGCCACCACCTCAGGGTCCAAGCTTTCCACGACGAGGAAATAATCAGACACGGCCACGTCTCGCAGAGCTGTGTGACTGCCGTCTGAGAACTCCAAGTCAATGTCCAGTAGACCTTCCTGAAATTTTACACAAGTTAAAATTAAATGATGTACCAAGTAGCAGGTAGACAATTTAGGACTTTGTAATTCATTAGCTAGCATTTGTATGCTAAGTATAATAAACAAGGGTATTTTTGCTAACCAGAAAGGCTTAATGTAGCATGAGGTATTTTTATCCAATAGAGAGTTTTTGACAGCTATAATAATCGTACAGACAAACTTTACACTAGATTAGCACCATCTAAAATAATATAGTGTCCCTATTTATGTTACATTTCGAGTTCTTTATCAAAGTAAATGAAACTGTACCACAATCGTTCATTAAATATGAACCTAATTGGTAGGTAGGAAAGCCTACACAAGAATCTTATGTCTATCGTATCGTAATTCTAGATAGGCGCCTACATACTTAGGAATTGCCTGCGCAAGTTGCCACCTACACAGATAGTAATGTGGGTAGATTCATAACCTAACAATGTTGTTTAATTTAATCAACATTATGTAAATCCTTTTTTCAGTCTATTCTACTTAGATGTCAGATTGTGGGCAGATAATTACTGAAGTATGAGTAAAAATGTACCTATCTAACTAGATATATATAAAACCCTGTATTAATTACATGTAGAATAAAAAAAAGCTAGATATATATGAAGTAGATAGCTAGTTATACTTACTTGGTAGGCCATCTAAAAACCGATTCACTATGCTAACCTAGGTATTTTAATATTTTATAAAAGGGCAAGCAAAAAGTTCTTTAACACTTTCGACTTTACCTAGATAGCCTTTGATTAATTCTGGTTTTGATACCTTGACCATAGATGAGACCTTGTTTTTTTTATTACGAGGGAAACCTTCGAAAGGCGCCTAGCCTTTTGGGGAGAAAATCAAAGGGAGTGTGGTATTTTTACCTCACTAAAACCACACTGGTGGCCACCCTCAGCACCTGCAAAGGACACCAAATCCTCTAACAGCCCAGCCCCGAAGCCCCCACAGTGCAATGCCTGATGCGGCATATCCCTGAGCCTCGAGAGATTATAGATGTGACCTAACGAACGAAGGTTTGAGTTAAAGCTAGTACTATAATGTTTCCCATTACAAACCTGATATTGCGCAGTGAGTCGCCTGGTGACGGTAGTTTCAGAGACGTATCCGTTTTCAATCGCAGTGTCGGGCGAGATATTCAGCTGCAGGCCAGATATGACGCGCACCAGTAGTCGCGAGATTGACACCTTGTCGTTACCCACGCGGACCTCACGCAGACCAATTACTCGCCCTGGAAAGGTAGAAAATATTTTACGTGAGTACTTTTGCTCCTAGGAGGGTACATTATGGTATGGTACTTATCCAATAGTTGGGGTCAACAAGTCAGTCGAATTTAAAATTGAAAACTGAATGTAATTTTTTTAAATCTCGCAATCACATGCAATGAAATAAACCAATTGGTTATTTGCTGCACTAATATGAGACAGGTAGGTATACTTTCTAACATCATCTCAGAGACAGAGGCTGTTAAAATTTTATGTGAGAGAACCAAATATCTACGTTATAATGTGACTTTCAATAATACGAGAAGAAAATACACCGAGAGGTCAAACAGTATGGATATTATCTCTCGATAACTATTGACTTACCTAAATAAATATAAAAAGGTTTGTACCTCAATCCATCTCAATTTAAACCTATCTGCAAATAGATCCATCAGAGTTCTAACTTAGTCGCTTAGATAAATTCAGAATCAAGTTTAGTTCAAGAGATTTCAATCTTGCACAGACCAATAAGTTTTAAAATCTGATAGTTTTCAAACGAATTATTGCTTATCGGCTAGACTTCACGATGCAGTCGAGTCACGAATTAGTTAGAGGCTTTTGTAAACGTCTATAGACATGATAAGATGAAAGTGTAGCCTTTTGTACTTAGTAGATACGTACGATAGTAGATGTGAAGTGTGATAAAATTATGAAGTTACAAGATGTCATATAAATTGACACTGCACGACGATATCGTTCTCCAGCTAGGCTATACTGCAACTGTCGATTCGGACTTGCGAATCGAGCTTGGTCGCATTCTCGTCTGTCAGTGGTCGAGATTATTCTCACAATCAATGACGTCGCTGACCGCGATCGAGATCATTTCGATCTTTCCAAATATAGAATAGCCAAAGCTGGCCTTTTCCTAAAAAAAGACCAACTGAAAGTCAGCATTTTATTAGAATGTACTGAGAAATGAGTAGGTATATGCATAATAATAGGTATGCTTCTAATACCCAATTTGACATTTCTCTCTATCTAGGTTAACCTACGTTTTGTCAATTTCTACAAATAGAGCACAAGTCTAGATGCTGAAGATATCGAGAGCCTTGACCTAAACCCAGTTTTAGCTATTAGGTAGGTACCTAGTGCATCATTCTGAGACTACCTACTCAGGCTACTGTTCAGGAAAGGGACCAATATTTTATTGGCTGTCAAACATCAGTTATGGTCACTTTGTGCCAAAGGGCTCCTAGACATAGGACTCATTACCTATACCGGGTGCCAAGTCTATGTTCTATTTAATATCTCTGCCTACCTACTGAAAAAATGTAATGCGAGATGAAAATATACTATCAAATCAGAATATCTCATTTAAACGGAACGGACCGGAACGGATTCGTATAAGTATAACCGTTCAATAGTTTCATTCATTCATGTGTTGATGAGAAATCTATAATTATCTGGGGCCTAGATTGTCAACACACGTATAGTGTTTACAGATACGAACGACGCTTTATTCTCATTTTATAAGATAGTAGGTACCTATCTGTTAATATAACACACGTCTAGGCGTCTCTAAAGCTAAGGAGGAGGCGGGACGAGTGAGGCAGCGAAGCGCTGCCTCCTCGCAACCCAGCCATCGCGAAGGACACACCGGGCGTCGGGGCGACCGGGATTTATTCCATTCTAATACCAAAAACTAATACCACTGGTATTTGTTTCAACTCATATTTTTTTTCTATTCCGAACCGATACCATTGTTTAAACTGATACCAAACCAAGTTCAAAGATATAAGGTACAGTCAGTAAAAATGCTTTGTATGTAAATATAAGACCTTTAATTGAAAAAAAAAAAACAGATAACTCCAAAAAAATCAAATTTTGTTAACAAACGTCTTGTTCAATGATAAAATATACTGAAATAATCAACTTTAATATAATTTTAGTTCCTCTCTATACCTGTATAATATTTTTTTTGCAAAAAAATCAAACAGGAAGAATTTACTTACAATCTAAAAATTACAAAATATCTCAAAAAATTAACTCTTAATTTATATTGAAATTTATCTGACATAGTTATTATTAGATAGGTACGTAATTATTCACGTCTACCTATCTCATAACAACTATGTCATGTAAATTTTTAACAAAAATAAATCACTTTTTATCTAACAATTGTAAAATATCACAGAAAATCAACTTTTTGTATAATCAAATCAGTCACTCACTTACATAGCAATGAATCAGCAATTTTTTTTGCAAAAACGTCATATATGAACAATTCACTTATAATCTAAGAATTATAAAATATCACAGAAAATCCACTATTAGTATAATCAGCTAAATGACGTGTAAATAATTTCTTATATTTCAACAATTAGTAGCTAAACCCTTAATTTTTCTAAGCAGTGACCTACGGAGATTTTGTTTTTGAGGAGTTGGTCAGTTACGTATGTGATCCACGAATTTTTCATAATAGTTGTCTGTGCACATCGTTTTGCGGGGGGTGCGTTTGATTTATATTGAGTAACAACCACTGTTTGTAAATCTGCGTCCTCTTTCAGCACGTTCAGAAGCTGATATAAATTAGCATTCTTTGGCACAGCCGAGTTTAATTTCTTATGCCAAGATTCTACGGCATTTGTGGTTCGATGGCGTTCACCATGAACGCACCAAATGTCTACAAAACTCTCGTTCTCTAGCCATTGTGACACCATGTAGTCATTAAATGTTTGAATGGCGTCAGTATCAGGACAGTCTTCCATTATGTAGCACCATCCTTCTGATATGAATTTCCGAGGAAGTAAAGGCAGTAAAGCTGAAAGTCTTACGTGTCTTTGGGTGATAGCATCTTTTGTCAGATCCAACTGTTTTGCTTTTTTCCATACATTTTTGGAATAATGAAAGTAGCATCCTTTAATCACAACTGACGGAAAAACAATTGTAATGGCGTTCATTGCGGCTAGTTCAAAATCTGTTAAAAATTTTACGGGTTCCCACCCAGGAATGTTTTGTTTCAAAATTTCAAATAATTTTTTGAATGTTTCTTCTGTTTTTTTGTTAAGTAAAACATAAATAAGAGGAACTATACGAGTGTGATCTTCGTCACTTCCCAGATCTCCGTGGATAGTATATAACTGCACAAAAGGCTCAGGGGTTCAATCGAATGTTCCGTCGCTTTATATTACGATTACATAAAAATATTGAAAAACAAATTTACTTTGATTAGGTTTGACTGCGCTGACTGTACCAAATTCAAGTTGTTGGTATTCGTTCGTACATTAAATTAAATTATTTAAAAAGTAGTATCCGTTCGGAATAGAAAAAAAATAAGAGTTGAATCAAATACCAGTGGTATTAGTTTTTGGTATTAGAATGGAATAAATC